AGATTTATTTAAAAGTTTGATTCAGAAGAAGCCCTAGCTGAGAAGGTAAAAGATCAGGTGGCGAAGATCAATGCTAAGTTTAAGGCGGACGCTAACCGGCGCAAGAGAAGAAACATGTTTATCAAGGAAGCTGCTATTTAAACAAAAATAAGCTCAGGGTCGAACTTCTTTCAACAAGAAGAGACTGATGTAGGACATGTAACGATCAAAGTCATAGTGAAGTAAGACCTTCATGAGTCAAATGCGGACATAGATGAATTATTAATTGACAGTAAAAAAACCTATCCCCCAATTCGGAAGATGAATTCTAACATATTATATATAAAAACCATCTATCTCGACAAGAGGGAGTCAATCAGCTTTACAGAATCTCACTATCTTATCAGTAACAACCGTTTTTATAAGATTTTAGAAATAATTAACCTTTAGTTTATATTTAGTAATAAATTTAGAGTTAATTTAGATTAGGAAATAAATTCAATATTGGAGTCAAATTAGATTGAAATAAATTAAATTTTGATTCATGATTTGTTTCCTCTATTATATGGAGTCTTTTTAAAGTAGGATTTAATACTTTTTATATTTTTTGTAATTCTAGTCTTATTAAGAACCTGTTTTATTTTTTCTATTTAAGAAGAGTCATGTAACCCCAAAGAAGCAGATCACTGTTATCTATAAAATTCTCTTTTATATTACTTCATGGATTCGAGGTTGTCTCTTCTTCGTGGATTAATTAAGATTGTTCTTTGTAGATTCAGAGAACACCCCTTGGTAGATTTTAAGGTTTATCACTTCCCTGCTGCGTTACTAACTTAGATTGTGAAATAAAGATTGTTCTATGGTTTCTGAAAAGTTCCAGTAGAAGGATTGCAAAATATGGTTGCTCACATTTTCTTTTTTTTTCTTTTTTTTTTCTTTTATGCAGCTTTTCATTTCAAATGCTTAGTCAAACTTTATGTACTAATTACCCATAAGCTTGCTTATGTATGCTTTGGTAGGCAGTTATCTTCTCAAGACTGCCATTGTGATTTTCATTAATTAATTGTCAAACAACTAGCCAGTTCCTAAAACAGGGGTGCATGAGGATGTTGTTGAACTCCAGGAAAGGCAAAAAGTAATGTTACACGTATGTGTGTGTTGTGTGTGTATATATATATATATTATATTATATATATTATATATAATATATATATATATATATATATATATATATATATATATATATATATATATTATATTATATTATATATATATATAATATTTATATATTATATTATATTATATATATATATATTATATATATAATATATATATATATATACGTATATTATATAATATATTTATTATGAGTATTAAGCGGTATCATATGTCATTGCAGAGGATCCCTCATTATACAATGATGTGTGTGCCAATCTCCACACGTGATAAAGCTAGGATGAGAGAATGCCTCATATAATTATACTTCGGTGGATGATTATGCCACTATCATTTGCTATATTGAAGAGAATCCTCTCAGTATGGCATATTGATACCCATTAATCTATATTATATATATATATATATATATATATGGAGAGGTTCAAATAAAAACTTTACTATCCTAAAAACTAAAAACTAATCCTCTCCATTGGATCTAGATTCATCCAATGGCTGAGATTAAATCTGCATAAGGGTAATCAGGTAAAATAAACAGCCCCTAAAGAGAGGAAATTAATGCTTGTCTATTGAGTTCTCCATTTCCCCATGCAATCTCACGGCTCAGGCAACCCAACAGTCACGAACAGCAGTCCTCTCACTCCATAACCACCATCTCTCGTTCATCGTCCTTCAGCTCTTTCCCCACAACCAGCTTCATCGTCCTTCAGCTTTCTCGTTCATCTGTCCTTCAGCTCTCTCGTTCATCTGTCCTTCATCGTATTTGAGCTCTCTCGTTCATCGTCCATTACCTGGCCATTCTTAAACATTTTATGGAGATTTAAATGGAGAGCTTGAATTCAGGTGAGCAGGTTCATGCATGTTTTCATTGTAATCGATCCAGATTTAGTATTTCAATACTTAGTCATATGACTTATTATATAGGAGCTTACATTCTTATATATTTTTTTGGAGATTTAAATAGAGAGCTTGAATTCAATTGAACACGTTCTAGTTGTTAATCTAGATTCACTGCATTGAATCGAGATTCATTGAACACGTTCTAGTTGTTAATCTAGATTCACTGCATTGAATCGAGATTCATTGTTAGAGACTGCAGTGATTTTCATAATTTATTCTTGAATCGAGATTCATTGTTAGAGACTGCAGTGATTTTCATAATTTATTCACTTGTTTACTGTAGTGAATTTGGATTCAATGCAGTGAATCGAGATTTACTCCAGATTAATTAGCAATAACATGAATTCAATGCAATGAATCAAGATTCACTCCAGTGAATCTAGATTCACTCCAGTGAATCTAGATTCATTGTAATGGATCTAGATTCAGTATATCAAAACTTAGTCATATGACTTATTATCTAGGAGTTTACATTCGTAAACATTTTATGTAAATTTAGTTGGAGAGCTTGAATTCAGTTGAACACGTTCTAGTTGTTAGAGTATGCAGTGATTTTCATAATGTATTCACATGTTTAATGTAGTGAATCTGGATTCAATGCATTGAATCCAGTTTCACTACAGTAAACATGTGAATACATTATGAAAATCACTGAATACTCTAACAACTAGAACGTGTTCAACTGAATTCACATGTTTACTGTAGTAAATCTGGATTCAATGCAGTGAATTGAGATTCACTCAAGTGAAACCAGATCAATTGTAATGAATCCAGATTCAGTATATCAAAACATAGCCATATGATTTATGTTTTATTTTCAGTTGTAGGCATCAATGAACAAATAAAGGAACCACATGTTATAAATGTATCGGACAGTGATTTTGGGGAAGATGGAATGGACGAAGTTAGCTCGATTCCTTTTCAATCACCAGGTGGTGGTATGTATTGGAAACCTCGGGTTGAAGCTGAATTTAAATCTTATATAAACCAAAGCTTCCGATCACTAGAGGATGGTATAGAGTTTTACCGAGAATATGAACGTAAAAGTGGGTTTGAGATCAGACGGCATACAGAGAAGAAACATAAGGACGATACAGTTCTTCTTAAACACATTGTTTGCAGTAGAGCTGGCAGCAATGAATCAAAGATGGATGTTGATTATGAGGATTTTAGTAGCTGTTCGAAAAAGAGAAGGAGAACTGTATCTAGTAGATGTGGTTGCAAAGCTAAAGTCGTGTTTAAGTTTGATGGTTTGAAAGGATATAATGTTCTCTCCTTCGTTGAAGAGCATTCTCATTTTTTGGTCTCCGGTAGTGGGAAACAATTTTTGAAGTCAAATAGAGTTCTCGGTCTCGCACATAAGAAACTTGTATTTGATGGAGCAAAAGCCAACATGGGGCCTAACAAAACATATAACTTTGCTAAGGAGTTGTGTGGAAGTTATTCTAATGTTGGTGCTACCTGTACCGAGTTTAAAAATTGGAGTAGGGATGTGAAGCTTTATATTGGTGATCGAGATGCTCAAATGATCATCGAGAAGTTCACGGATAAGAAGGAGATGAGTGATGGATTTTTCTATGATTATGCAGTCGATGAAGGGGGTCGATTAACTCGCATCTTTTGGGCAGATGTTATTGGGCGAAGAAATTACGATGTATTTGGAGATGTGATATCATTTGACTCTACATATTCCACAAACAAGTAAGATTTTATAGCTAATCTCTTACGATTTTCAATATTGTAATTATATGTCATAGTGAATCTTATATTTTTTGTATGTGATACAATAGGTACAACATGAAGTTTGTTCCATTTACTGGTCTCGACAATTATAAGAAGTGTGTTGTATTTGCAGCAGGATTGATAGCTAAAGAGGACATTGATAACTATGTCTGGATTTTTGAGGTATTCATGAAATGCATGATTCGCGAGCCAAAGTGTATTGTTACAGATCAGTGCCCTGCCATGAAGCAAGCTATACCAACCGTCTTTACAGAAGCACGTCACCGTTTGTGCATGTGGCACATCATGAAGAAATTTAACCAAAAGGTAATGAATCCCACATATAAATATCATGAATCCTCATTAGATAAATACTGAATCTTTCGTTATATATTTATATTGTAGTTGGCAAAATGCATTTCGAAGATGGATGATTTCAAGAGGAAGATCAATGCACTGATTTGGAGTATAGATATAGATCCAGCAACATTTGAAGTAGGTTGGAAAGATGTTATGAAAGAATTTAAGCTTGAAAGTAATGAATGGTTGTGTGAACTGTATAACATTCGGGAGTCATGGATTCCAGCCTATTATGCTGATGATCCAATGGCTGGTTTATTGCGTACTACATCAATATCAGAGAGTGAGAACAGTTTCTTTGACAAATTCAACCGTAGATCTGACACATTGACAGAATTTTATCTTCGATATGAGAGTGCTATGGAGAAGCAAAGGCATACAAATGCAAGATTAAACTATGAAGGAACAAAGTCGATGCCAAGAATGGACACGCCATTGTTATTGGAGAGGGATGCATCAGAGTTGTACACTCGAACAATGTTTTATGAGGTACAGAAAGAGATAATGTCATCCTGTTATGATATGAGTATCAACAGTATATCTGAAGAAGAGGGCGTGAAGATTTATTCCATAAAGGATAAAAAGAGACATGGAAAAATATTTGAGGTAAAACTTAATAATGGAGATTGAAACAATAAAAATTGAATCCAGATTCAATGCAGTGAATCGCGATTCAACGAAGTGAATCTCGATTCACACCACTGAATCGAGATTCAGTGACCCTTTCATTCGCTTGTCATTTTCTTTTTTTATTCGGTGCTAATATACATTGTTTTTTGAATTTTAGGTGAAACACGCTTATTTGAACAATGACCTGCAATGTACGTGTAGGCTGTTTGAGAAAATATGTATAGTATGTAGACATGGTTTTTTTTGCATTGAACCAAGCTGATGTAACAAAAATACCAAGACATCTTGTTGTGAACCGATGGACAAAAGGTGCTGAGATGAGGCATTCATTACAGTTCAAGGAAATATCAGAACAGTGCAATGCAATTGAAGTTACAAATTGCAAGTTGAATGACATATGGTATGATTTCCAATCCTGTGTGAGTTTGGCAGGTTTAGATGGTGAGAGACTTGACTACCTGGAAGGGAAGTTGAAGGAGTTGAAGCACAGTTTGCGTGAATCTAGTTGGAAATCTGACACACAGAACAAAAATGATGTAATGGAGTTTTTTGTTGGCTCAAAAATACCACCGGAAGTGATCGTTAAACCTCCCATTAAAGGTAGAAACAAGGGGTGTGGACGGAGAATTGTTGGTGATTATGAAAAATCAATTAGTCAACGAAAGAAGAAGGTGCCAAGGCTGTGTAATATGTGCAAAAAAATCGATTTCCATGACGCACGGACATACCCATTAAAGAAAACAATACATCAAAGTGATGTTTAATTTAGTTGTCATATTTCGTTTCAAGATCATGTTTAGAAATATATTTCTTATTAAAATTGCTGAATTGTGTAATTCTTAACTACATATATTTACTAATCATGTTTAGAAATATATTTCTTATTAAAATTGCTGAATTGTGTAATTCTTAACTACATATATTTACTAGATTATTAATTACATGGTTACGTTGTGTCATGTTAGTATATTGAATTGAGATCTACTCATATAGCATGTGAATTCCATTATTATTAGTTGTATTATTTCAAAAGGAATGATAAAGTAGTTGTATGCAGTCATCAGTTTAAATTTGATTCGCTTTAAGTGATTCTGGACTAACTATATTGAATCTAGATTCATTGTAGTGAATCTAGATTCACTGATATTGAATCTCCATATCTCTATGGGGATTCATTATAATCAATCAAACAATCAAATTATTTGATTGTTTCGGTTTAAGTGATTCTGGATTAACTATAATGAATATAGATTCACTGTAGTGAATCTGGATTCACTGAATTGAATATGGATTCACTATAGTGAATCTATTTTCAATCAAATAAATTACTAAAAACTTAAGATAATATTGACTTACTAAATTTTTCAGTGTAGTGAATCGAGATTCACTGCATTGAATCTAGATTCACTATAGTGAATCTAGTTTCAATCAAATAAATTAGTAATAACTTAAGATAATATTGAAACAGTGATTCCAGATTAAATACATACAATCCACAATAAATATGATTAATTTATTTTATGTTACATAAAACGTTAAATTATAAATCACATTCTCTGCTTAAATCGAAATTCTTCCAATTGCATTGAATACCTTCACAGTATTTTCATATATCCAAACTATTCACAAATCTAGAAATAAAATTATGACAAAGCTATTCTTATAAAGTATATTTACATAGAAAAGCAGTTCAACACAGACTGGAGTATTCTATAACATTAAGTGAAAATGTACTTAATAACTGTAAACTTCAACATTGAAAATTATGGTGATTACAGAATATCATTTTCTTTGAGATCTTGTGGTCTTCCTCGTCTCTTTTTTGATATTGGCAGTTTCAGCATGGTGCTGTTGGGCTTTGCTGATGACTTCTTTGACCAATTCATTTGTTGGTTCAGTAAGAATTTAGTAACAGTATATAGACCTCAGCCTATGTAGCTGATTTTTTAATTACTCCTGTCGATATGTACAAAAGTTCAGTTCATGATTCAGTAGCTATATTCTAAATTTTATTAATTCAAAAAGACTAACTGTAAATCTTATTAGATTCAGTAGTTATATTCTAAACACTTTCACCCTCTTTATGAAAACCAGAGTTCTAATTTGCTGTACCACCGCCCATGTAGGTCTCCATATGTCTCATGACAAAAATACCACAATCAAATTTGTTTTTGGTTGTTCTCCACTCCATCTCAAGTCTGTCAGGCGTTAATGTATTTATTTCACTCGCCTTGTGATGTTTTTTGTGTGCCAAATATCTCACAAAATTCTGGTGCTGTTTAATCAAAAGTAATCAGTGTCACATAACAAATCCAAATTATTATACAGTAATGTTTAATGTAATATACAAATTGTTTTGGTTGTTTATATGGAAACAGTATTAATGACAGCGAATCACGATTCATTGCATCTAGCTCGCTAGGATTTAATAGAGTTAGTTCACTTGGACTCACTCTAATGAATCTGGATTCACACTAGTGAATCTGGATTCATACTAGTGAATCTGGATTCACTGGAATTAGCTATAGCTAGTGGATCGTGATTACGTGATGTTAACACAGATTCACTAGCTCTATTGAATCGAGATTCATAGTAAGATGTGAATCCAGGTTCACTAACTCTATTGATCGAGATTTTAGATCACTAGTTATAGCTAGTGGATCGTGATTACGTGATGTGAACACAGATTCACTAGCTCTAGTGAATCGAGATTCATAGTAAGATGTGAATCCAGATTCACTAACTCTAGTGATCGAGATTCACTAGAGTTAGCAAATCTAGAATTCTCTGACTCTAGTGAATCCAGATCCACTTATTACTGTATTCTGCCAGTAAATGTTTAAAGAACATACGTAAGGTGGAAAAACATACCAAACCCTCAGGACGGCCTTGGTATTTTTCCTTGTAGTCTGGGCAGTTTTTGCTATTGTCAATCAGCTCCATACTTGGATTCTTTAGCCCATTACACACAATGTAGAAATGCTCAAACGCATTTATGGGGAAGAAGACCTAATGGTTGTGAAATTTAATCAGAGATTTTACAGATATAGTTAAAATTGGGTTAAAGAACAAAAACATGGTCTTCGAATCTTTACCATATCAATCTCATTAAACTTCATATGTGGATACAGAGCAAGTTGCTCATCCATACGGGAAGCAAACCAACTGTATCTCAATTCATCATTGGCCTCATCTGTGTGATGAATGTTGCAAAATTGTACAATATAAAACTGGTTAAATAAGATGTAACTCAAGTGTTATTTTAAATAAAATAAAGGAAGATACGTACGGTTGTCTCAACATTGCAGAAGAATCTAAGTGGAGAATTTTCAGACTTCATTTTTTCTCTGCTGTTCAAAATATAGGACCAAATGCTGATTAAATTTGCCTCAATGTCCTCAGAAGGAAGGAAAGTCTTGAAAGCAGGTAAGAAACATTCAATTTGTCTCCACTTAAAAACCATTTCACTAAAAAAATAGTAACAATATTCAATTTAATAAAGTGACAAAATACTAAAAACATTGAGTCTCACACCTAAAAATAAAATATCAAATAAGATTTAAGAACTCACAAATTCTCTTCTTCAGCAGAATCATCTCCTGAATGCCTTGCTTCTTCTCTATGTACCCAATTCCATATGATGCTTTCCAGCTGACTTTGCCTAGCAGTAATTTGGGATACCCTCTGCACCCATGGTGACCGAAGAGACGTTGCAGGCTTCACCATCCTTTTTTCTTTCCCCCTTCCCGCATGTCCCTTATTTTCGGTCACCTGAACTTTCTTACCTTTACATTCATCTATTGCAGCAGCATCTTCAGCTTGTTTATCAGTTCTTCGTACAGAGTCATCAATGATTTCAGATTCACAAGCTTTAGCAATGTGAACAACATCAACCATTTCCATTGTCTCACTCTGAGTATCCTGTGTCAGCCCAAGAGAAAAACTAGGTTCTTCAGTCTGTGGGGTACCACATTCGCTGAGCTTCCGCCTCACTGGTCTGTCTACCTTTTTCATGCTAACAGACTCTATAATCTTATCAACTTCTTGAATAAACTTTAGGGAGATTTGTGTTTGTGGTATCTCAGCTGATATTGGATCAACAGCAGGGAAACCATGCATATCTCTACTCACCTTGGTGTTCACATTAGGGGTATCATCAACAATGTTTCCCACAGCTGTTTCATCATCACAGGTACTTACACGATGTCCACACCCCTGCACAAGAACATTTGAAACTCTCTGTTGAAGTTGAAAGAGCTCATTGTCATTGGGGAACAGCTTTCTCATTGTCTCACACTCAGCATCATATCTATCTTTTGCAGATTCCAACTCTGCAGCTCTCCCTTGAACCCTCTCAATACAATCCTGTAGTTTGAATATCACAGACATTGGTCACCATAAATTATTAACATGGCGAGAGACAAAATTCGATAGATTGAGATTACATTCAATGTATTTGTATCAAGATTCAAATGACTGAATCCAGAGTCGACTAAAATAATTCCAGTTTCACTTTAGTGAATCGAGATTCACTTCAGTAGATTAATATTAAGTATCATTGAATCCAGATTCACTTAAGTGAATCAGAATTCAGTTTAACTTAATCGATAATCACTGATCTGAAACGAGATTCATTACTAGTAAAACGATTCATTGTACTGAATCGACATTCATTTTAAGTGAATCGAGATTCACTCCTACTGAATTGAGATTAAATTGAATAAACAAAGACTTGCAACTTGATTTGCTAACCTTTCTAATTGTATCAACACTTTTAGGAGAGTTTCCAGTAGCACTCTGCATTCGAGATGAATCTGGAAGTTCAACCCTCTCTGTAAATGCACCTTTGCCAAATGAATTTGTACTTATTTCCTCTGACTGTCTTTCCTTCAAGGCCAAGTCAGTCCAGCCTAAAAATGTAGGTGTTGTTCTCTCAACCAACCTCCTCCCTTTGAACAGAACCTGATCGGCATAGAACAGCTACAAAGACGGAGATAAGAAATGAAGCACAACAATTAGTAATCATCAAGTAAAACTACTTTAACTACAGTAATGTAAAAATAAATCAATATTATACAAGTGACTTGCAATCAACAATGCAAGAGGACCCGTGTAGAATTGTTTTATCGGGTCAACCTTCTACTTGTGTTGGCTTTCTATCATTGAGTCAAGCAAGAAAGAACACCAATTGTATTTAGAGCACTGATCAACATTGTCACCAAGAACTAGAATCCGTTGGTTGACATACGGATTGCTAAGCGACTGGATCATGCTGTTGTGAAAGAGAACCAAGAAATTGAGTTTAAAAAACAGGTTAACATCAGAACTCTGCTTCAGTTTCTCAGACACAGCCCCTGGAGTAATTTTCCAACCAAATATGTCTGTGAATTAAGCCCTCCATTCATCCACCATTGCTGACTTCCCAATACTGGAGGCTGGTATACGCTTCCTGCCCAGAGGTAATCCCATCACTTGATGTACATCTTCCTCTGTGATACTTATTGATCCTCTGGGAAGATTAAGCGCAACGGATTCACTATCAAAGGACTGCAGAATCTGGTACCCCAACATATGTGGCAGTTCCTTTAATCCAAATTGTAAAAGACCTCCAAGTCCAGCTAGTCTCACCCATTCTTTTTGAGAGTCAGAGAGTGACAAAACCATATCAGAGAATATCTTTGGAGAGACTCGTATCCTAGTCAACTCCTTAGGTTCAAACATAACATTTTTTTTTTCAAAAACTTCTCCAGTGAAAAAAAAATAA